TTTTTGTGTTTACATCATTCTGTTAAAAGGGCATTTTAGTCATTTTTGCTTGCTATGTTGTTTGAGTAGGATGAAGTACTTGTAAAACACATGTTATTTTTGTGATGAAGTATACTTAATGTAATTAAAAATTAGTTTGTAATGAATTCATTATTAAGGAAAATAATCTACATAGATTATATACTTTAACATGTCTGGTTAATGTAATTAAAAATAACTTTGTAATGAACTCGTTGTTAATTATTCATTATATACTATGTTTTCAAGAAATTATACACAACTTGATTAGCACAACTGACTTAATTGCGCCCTTTTCTAGCATAAGCTTAAGTTTGAGTCTGCTTGACAACAATATCTACTTTATAATTCATTTTTACATTTTTTATCCATTAGTTTATGCCACATATTACCAATTCAAAAACATTTCATTCAAACCATATCTTACAAATTCCAATGAGCATAATAATAATTCATCCATAGTATAACAAAATTAATTAAGCATACAACATCCCAACAAATGCCATCACAAATTAGCTATGCATTTTGTTCCATAGCAAAACAAGCAAACGAATTCATATTCCGTAGCAGAATTCCCTAGCAAATACCTACGAATGGTACCACCGTAGTAATTCAACTATGGAATTGGTTTCCGTCACAAACTTCGTTGCATAGTAACCAGGATGATGAATTCCATAGCAGCAGTACAACAAAAAATGATTTGGTAACAAATGTCATTGGAAAATTACTATGAAATTTTGTTCCATAGAACTATCGGTAGCATAATACCAATGGATATGGAGTTGGTTTCATTTTCCCTAGCAACTCCTACTCTCGCTACCAAAAAATAAAATCCGTAGACAATGTGGTAGCAACATTGCTATGGAATGACATTGCATAGCACGATCCATTGCAGATTAACAACGAAAATACGTTCCATAGCAATCTTCCCTAGCAAAATCATGTTTTTCTTGTAGTGTATATAGAACGCCAAAAATGGATCTGGGACACGGAAGTTATGACCGTTAGATATGAGGCTGGTTTGGGCTTTGGCCTAGTACGATGGGTGTACTAGGCAAGGTTGGTCATGAAGCTTCTTCCTAGTACGCTAGGCGTACTAGGAGTACGTTGGGCGTACGTCAGTCAGGTGCAACCCTAATATTTGGGTCTTGGGCCCTATTTAAAGGCCTTAACTCTTTCCAAACCCTTCCTACTTCAATTTCCATCATCTATAAATGTAACATCCTGTTTCGGATCGTCTGTGATTAGGGTTCGTGGGCTGCAAACTGGGCATGAGAAGGTCTCGGGGTTGCGACGAGTTGCTAGAAGCGTAAGACATCTCGTCACCTTTCTGTAGGTATGAGGTTCATGGGAATCGAGATTATATTGAGGAAGCGATGGAAGTTTGAAGTTGTGGCAGGATAAGTCCCTTATTTAAGAAAGGTGGCAGCTGAGTACGTTGGGCGTACATATGTTTACGCTTAGCGTACTCATGTGCGTGATTTTTAAGCGGATCCACCTAGAATGCTGGGCGTACTAGGCACATAGTGGAAACCCTAACTTTGGATGTATCTCTATATAAAGAATGATATGGCCTCATTCCTGGCCACCATCCTTACTCAATAAACTCTCTAAAACCTTAATCCTTCGTTCATGGAGCTTATGAGTGCATTTGAGAGCCTTAAGTGATTTTGTGTGATCTTGGAGTAAAGAAGGAGCATTGGAGAAAAAGGAGTGAGAAGTCTAGGCCTTGGATCTGATCATATTTGAGTTAGAAGCTTCATATGGAAGTATAAAGCTTCAAACTATCTCACTCTTTTGTTTTGAGCATCATATTAGAGTATTTTAGGGTTTTGTCCCAAAAGGTGGAGACTTTATGAGTTATTGAGCTCCAGAGACCTTGATCAACACCCTTTGAGTGTATTTAGTGGAGTAATGTCATAAAAATCCAATCTTGGATGTTAGAATCAAGTCATGCATGAGATATGAGCTTTATGAGAAAATATGATGAGTGTTTTGAGTATTTGTGACCAAATCAGCCATGCAAAGGCTTAAAGTCTTTGACTTTATGGAGTAAGAGATATTAGGGAGTCCAAATCTGAGAAATGAGCTAAGGTCTTAACGGGTTATGACCAAGGGAATGGACTAAAATAAAACTGAGCGTACGCCCAGCGTAAGAGCCAGTACGCCCCGCGTACTGGGTTGGTGTCCCCAATCAGTTTCGTGCATGCATGAGTACGTTGAGTGTCCTAAGGGAGGTACGCCCCACGTGAACTCACTGTGGACTTTTGGGATATGTCTCATTTTGGGCCTTGAGTGTTGGGCCTCGAGTTTGGGCTTATTATAATAGATTATTGGACCAGAGGAATATATATATATATATATATATATATATATATATATATATATATATATATATATATATATTCGCGCTTGGGCCCTTGGGTTGGGCTTGCCATTTAGTTTTGAGAGTGGGCCTCGGGTGAGCCCATTTATTATTGGGCCTTAGTGGGCCCAATGGGTTTTAGGCTAATTTGGGCTGGTTAGTGGTCTTCCTTTAGACCTAATGAGTGAGAGTCTGGACTTAGTTCCTAATTGGGTTAATTGTGATTTTGGCTCAGAGATTAGAGGTCGGTGCCTAGCCACAACGTTTATAAGGGTTGTTCATCATCCGAGGTGAGCCTTCTCATTATACTTTACCTAGAGTGGTAATTATGTGTGACTAGAGGGTCTTATGTGCTTGCTTGAATTATGCATTTTCTGTGTGATATGTACTATGAGACCGGAGGGTCCTCACTTAGACCTGACCAGAGGGTCCAACGAGCAGTGAGACCGGAGGGTCCAACGAGCAGACTGGACCAGAGGGTCCAACGAGCTGTGGGACTGGAGGTTCCTACTGAGACACATTGATCGGAGGGTCTTACAGAGCTATAGCCTCGAGTGGCTAATCATATGTGCGCAATATTTTTGGGAACTCACTAAGCTTCGTGTTTACCGTGTTATGTGTTATGTGTTTTAGGTTTTTCTCAGGATCGCGGGAAGGAACCAACTTGATTGTACACACCAGAGAATGAGTATTGTTTTGAGGATCCTTAATTATTATTAAATATTTTTGGGGTTGTGTTTTATAAATTAAATATATGAGATTTTTGTAAAATGTGTTATGAGAACTAAGTGATTTTAAATGAAAGTTTTGTGTGAAAATTTACGTCGTTACAAGTTGGTATGAGAGCCTTGGTTTGAAGGATCCGGATGCACCTCCGGGTGTGTTTGGACTCAAACTGAGTATTCGAGAATTTTTTTCAAAAGAGATATTTTTTCTAAAAATGAGAGAGAGTTTAAGAGAAACGAGTTGGAGCAGTGTGTACAATCAGCCAGAGCCCAAACGGTGATTTTCCAAAATACCCTTATTTATTTGTGTTATGACTTATTATTGAGATACTAGTGATGCATGCTAGAGAATAGACTAGGTATTTAATATTTTAGGACTAGAGTGGCTCGATTTGTGATGTCTTAGCCTAGGAGTTGCTGCTATCTATGATTTGCTTTTGAGTATGTGCGGAGTAAGAGTATCCAACAAGAATCATTTTGAGAGAGAGATTTGAGTAGAGGAGTAATCTAGGAGAGATACCTAGATGAGCATTGGAGGAGCCTACTGAGAGAGTAGTCAGATGAGTACGCTGATAAAGGAGAGTATTCGCAGGGGAGCGACTGGGTTTTACGGGATTGGTGATCGAGAAGGTTGAGTAGTTGATTAGGAATTCTGGGACGATTCGTGTGGAAAGTACGGGTAGATGTGGAATGTAGTATGTGCTCGTACTACTGAAAGCAGAGGACCTGTAGTCGAAACAAGGAGAATACCAGAGGTTCTAAGTGGCATATTGAGAGATGATCACATGGTTCGAGTACCATGATTCGTGGCGGTTAATGCTTCTGGTTTTATCAGTAGTTGTCTCGTGGTGGTTGATTAGTTTGAGATCAGATGATAGAGTGTGGGGCCAGAGGGCCATGTCGAGCGGCTGATTCTGCAGTAACCTTGTCTTTTTCTTTCTCTTTGTTTGCAGATTCTGTTGTGCTGGGGCGAAGATAATGATCGACACCGTATCCAATACAATGGATCTCAAACAGTTCACGCCAAACGTCGTAGTTCATTTGGTCAAGGTCTAGAATGAAGGGAAATACATGTTTTATATTTATGGTGGAGGAGAGTTTATCATAAGCAATGAGAATCAACATAATGAAAAGAGCATGAGAGTTTAAATATGAGAGGTTAGATTAGTCGAAGGTGAAAAATCATATGGCTAGGGTTTAAGAAACAAATGAGAATGAATGTATGCTCTGATACCATGTAATTTGGTGTATTTTCCATGTATCTCATCTCTCATTAAAGCTCATCTCTCATTAAGGAATAATAATATATACAACAGTACATGGACTCAGGCCAATCTAACTGGGCCGAGATATATACAAAATATGAATTACAATAAATAATAATAATAATTACGCTCACTAACAATAATTAGTTGGTTGGGTCTGCTATTTCATATTTTTCTGACAATAAAGGGAGGAAGTAGATGGAGGGTTATTGGCCGTCGGTGTTTTCCGCCAAAAAATATATCGAAGAAAGGTGGCGACGCAACTTCTATTCTTTGATCCATGGATAGGGAAATTGGAAAGGAGAAGATAAAAGGGCTAAGCAGTTAAGTTTGGGGATGATGAGATCCACCTATTTATTAAACATATTAATTTTAATAAACAAATAATCAATAAATATAAAATTTATTAAAAACGAAATATACAAAGACAAAATATTCTTTTTAAGTCAAACATTGGTGCAACAAATTTGATATTTAAGAATTCGGCATATAAAAAACCCGACTTAGGAAGTACACAAACGTAATTACACAAATTCACATAATTTACTAGAAAAAAAAAAAAAAAACAAACGAAACCAACATATTTTTATATAACAATTTACTTTAGTGGGATATAATAAGAGTAAACAGACATGCTCTCCAATCACTGTGATTTTCCCTTGTTGATGTCCTCCATTTTGTCCTCTTTCTTTTATGTCTTTATAAATATATCCCCTTTTCAGTCTTTGCTCTTCACCATTTTCCAATTGTTTATTGATTTTGACGACGGCTATCAGGAGTTTGTTGTAAATGGTTGGGAAACGAGAGCGTATTTCAACTTTGGCGGGAGATTCGAGGTGAGATTTTGATTTATTGTTCTGTAATTTTGGGTTGATAGAGTAAATTTGGCCAACGATGCACGTAAGTTTGGGTGTTTGAAAGCTATGTTTTGTCCTGCAATTAAATGCAGATATAGCTACGGAGATATTCGTGTAGTTAGGGTTTTAATTGCAAGGAACTTGCTTATGAAGATTTTGGTTGGTGATAATAAGTAGGTGTAGTTCTGGTCTATAAGAAAAGAAGATTTGAGGATTTCGATTTGGTGTAGAAACTATGGCTTCGAATCAAACGTCTTTGGCAATGCTGCAAGAGCCAAGTATCGACACCGATAAGCTCAGCTACGAGATTTTCTCGATTCTCGAGAGCAAGTTCTTATTCGGTTACGATGATCCCAAGCTTTGGAAACCTATTCAGGTTTCTCCGGAAGTTTCTGTTACTCCCACGGCGGTGGATGTAGGGGATGTTAACAACAGTGTTCAAGCGATGAAGAATCAGAGAGGGAAAATCTGTGTGCTCTCTATCGACGGTGGAGGAATGCGGAATATTTTAGCCGGAAAAGCGTTAGCTTATCTGGAGAACGCGTTGAAGGTCAAGTCCGGCAACCAAAACGCCAGAATCGCTGATTATTTTGATGTCGCAGCCGGCACCGGAGTAGGAGGTGTCTTCACGGCGATGTTGTTCGGGTTGAACCATAGCCGTCCCATTTTCAAGGCGGAGGACACATGGAAGTTTTTGGCGGAACAGGGGAAGAGATTGTACCAACAAAAATCAAGCTCCGGCGGCGGCGGAAAAGGCCAAGGTTTATTTAAACGGATTCTCCGCGGCGGAAACAGCAGAGGAGTAGGAGGGATAACTCATGCGACGGCTGGATTTGAAAACGCAATGAAGGAAGCTTTCACCATCAATGGACAGAGTTTAACATTAAAGAACACATTGAAGCCGGTGTTGATCCCTTGCTACGATCTCTCCAGCTCAGCTCCGTTTCTATTCTCGCGAGCCGACGCTTTGGAAACAGACAGCTTCGACTTCCGTCTCTGGGAGGTCTGCCGCGCCACCACAGCTTTACCGGGCTTGTTCGAACCGGTCTCCATGAAATCCGTCGACGGGAAGACACGTTGTGTGGCGGTTGACGGTGGTTTAGCCATGAGCAACCCTACGGCAGCAGCAATCACACACGTTCTCCACAACAAACAGGAGTTCCCTTTCGTACGAGGGGTAGAGGACCTTTTGGTACTTTCATTGGGCACCGGTCAGGTTCTAGAAGGCAACTACGATTACAACCAAGTCAAAGGGTGGAAGCCAAACGACTGGGCTCGCCCCATGGCTAGAATTTCCGGTGACAGCTCCGCCGACATGGTGGACCACTCCGTCTCCCTGGCTTTTGGTCAAAGCCGTAGCAGTAATTACGTCCGTATTCAGGTATGTTCCTTTTGCTTGTCCACATTTGCTCCTAAAAATTGTTTAATTCATTTTTCTTTTTTAATTTTTTACTCAATCTACTCGCATCTTTAGTTCATAAGGGTGATCAAATTCGGAGCATTTGTTCTTGGTGTTCTTAATGTTATCCAAAACGAAATCTTTTTTTTTTTTTTTTTTTTTTTTAGATTATAGACTTTACCTTTATCTTTGCATTTGAACCCAAAAAAGTTAACACTCATTTTTTTTCACTAAAAGGCTTTCTTTAAAGAAAGATGACACATTTTTTTATTCTAATAATTATACAGACACACATTTTTTTTTCTTCAATCCGCTTAGTTTTTGATAAAATTCGATCCATATTACGCCAAATATTCAGATAATGCCACCAAAATCTTTCAAAAAATTCTGACTTTACTTGTGAAGGGAGTCATGGATATGGTCCTGTGAGAATAAGGGAATGATGGTGCTTTGTTTTTTAGTTAAAATGTTGTGATGTGTTCTTTTTTAGGTTTATGCAATTAAATATTTAAGACTGGGTTTCTTTCAAGAAATAATTTTTTTGTAACATTCACGTTCTCCAGCTATTAAAAAGCCAATTGGTGTGTTTTTAGTGCATTTTGTGTAGCTTTCTTGACATATAGGCAATGCCTATATTATTTGCATACGACAAATTCATTTCCTTAGTCCTTTTGTCACGTTCTAGAAAATTAAAAAAAAAAAAAAAAAAAGTTCTACAATTCAATTCAAGGTTCACAAGAATAATACCAACATATCGTACCACATTTTGTTCCTAAAATATGAAACTTCAAGTTTTTTCTTTTTGTACTATTTCACCACAAAAGAACAATTTCATTTTGGTTTTTATATCATTCTTATATAGTCCATTATTTTCTATGTCCTTGATCAAGAAATTATTAAAAGTAATACATGTCAGTGGACCACTGTCTACCTGATTTAAATAACGGGAACTAAATTTTGTTTTGTGATAGGCAAATGGATCGAACATGGGACGTTGTGGGGTGAATGTTGATTCCGATTCCAGTCCCGGAAATGTAAAATTGCTCACAGGAATAGCCGATGAAATGTTGAAACAGAAGAATGTGGAATCAGTATTGTTTGGGGGTAAAAGAATCGGCAACCAAAGTAACTTCGAAAAACTCGATTGGTTCGCAGAACAACTTGTCTTAGAACATCAAAGGAGAAGTTCCCGTATTGCTCCCACCGTCGCATTTAAACAAGCCGCCCCCAATTCCACCTAAACTATTTCCCCCCAAAGGTCCGTACCTGTATCTGCACCTGCCACCAGTATCCGGTACTGGTACCGGTATCAGTACTAATTAGTATATTGACTTTAAAATTAAAGGAAACTTTTTGTAAACTGAATCGGTATCGGTACCGGTATCTAGTTCCGTACCTGTACCTATACCTGTAACCTGATATCAGTATCTAGCACCATACCGGTGTCGGTACTAACTAAATATATTGATTTTAAAATTAAAAAAAACTTTTTGTTAGCTAAAAGAGAGCATTAATTTGCCTGAAAAGTATGATAGACGTTTGTTAAAAGTAGAATCTAGATTTTATTTATTTATTTATTTTTTTCATTTTTACACATGATAAACACATTAATGTCATTTTCTGAACCGGTCCCAAAAAATCAAATGTTATAACCACCAAGGGAGGGAATAGAGAATGTTAGCCCCCACCCGTTTCAACCGACACATCGATTTTCCCACAAGGGCATTTCCGTCATTTTGTTAAAAAACCTGAAAAGTTAACTTTAGGTGGTAGGGGAGAAGGATCTAAGTATGGTGACTCCCCCATCCACTCCCGAGGACTATTCCGTCATTTCATGAAATAATTTTGGAAAGGTCGCTATCTGGGTGGGAGGATGAAGGGGATTTAGAATTTATATATATTTCCGATTTCCGATTTTGTCCTTTTAAGAGTTTATAATTTTCTCTTTTAACATCAACCGACAAAGTGTTAGTTTCTTTGTAAACAAAGTGGGAAGATTACTGAAATGCCCTTGTTTGGGGTAAAGGTGTTTATAATTTAGTAATTGAACTCATTGTGATTTGTGAATGCAGGGTATGGTGGTCAAAAAAGGAAAAGAAGTATACTCTCTCCAACATTACCCTGCTTTAATTTGAAAGTAAAAGAGGCAAATTGACTGAAAAGGACAATCAACTCAACTGTATTAAAAAAAAAAAAAAAAAAAGAAAAAACAAGAAAAGGGGTAGTGAGGGGTAAAATCTTGGTGGGGATTTGTTTTGCCTGCCATAGTACAAACCATAGTGGTCTCCACTCTAACCTTTCTTTGTCCTTTACCCCCAAAAAAAATGAAAGGGCAAAATTGGAATTAAAGAGCAAGTGGATGTGTGTGTGTGTTGTGTGTGGTGATGTATGTGTGTGTGTGAGTGAGTGAAGTGGAAGTCTAAAATTGTAAAAATGCTTAGAGGATTAAGATTTTCTATAGAGTTTAGATTTGAAGTTGATTAGTGGGGTTGGGGGTAATATGGTAATGTGACAAAAGATTTTACTAGATTTAGAGGTTATGTGGTTGATAACAATTTTTTTTATATAATGTTTAATATGAATACTTTATTTTCAACAAC